TAACTTAGTGTAGTAGGTTAAAACCTAATTTCTAAGGAGAGGCCTATAGTCAGAAGTGGACTATTTATAGGTTGTTCATGTCCCTCCCGCTGACTCGAGCGGGAGGGACTCCAAGGGCAGCAACGCACTTGTGACTTTTGAGTTGCAGGTCTCCAATGGCGGCGGTAGTTGCTTACCATCAGGTGACCCGTCTGCTCGTTTGCCATCTAATACCATAAAAAAAAAGATGAGTGATGTATCGGCACTTCAATCGGCTGCTTAGTCAACCTCAACAAAAACTACCAACCCCTCGTAATCGTACCAGCTCATGTCGATACATTTTGGAGTTTGGGACTAGATGGCGTTGTGTGAATGTGGTACAATATTATTATTATTATATATATGTATACCCAGTCTATCTATGTAGGTAGTATAACATTTTGCAACTGATAACAATTTAAAACAATTTATCCTTATCTGTTCTAATTATAATTATACACCTGGCACACACACATCTCTGCATCACTCAAAGGTTGACGGCAAGAAAATGCCTGGTATTAAGCCCGCTATAAGCAATGTATTTGCAGAAACAATAAAATAAAATCAATCCAGTATTTCTATTCCTTTCAATTTTTGCTTAAAGCGAATTTAATTCTTTGTTATAAAATTCTTAAGAGACAAACTAAATACCTGGAATGAGGACAAGCGCTTCGCAGGCAACAAGACGACCAAATTCCTAATCCCAGCAGACCTGAATTCTGTATATATTTTGACGTTTCACTGTACAAATTGACGACAATTCTATACCTTGACAGTTAAAGTTACACTGGTCAAGTAAATTCGGCCGTAAGGTGATCTTTACTTTCATTAAACTAATGAGTTAAAAAGCCTGTACGTGAATATTTTATTACGACAATCGATACTAGAAATAAACATTGAAACAAATTGATCAATTTTATGTATGTATTTCTGTCTTTGTTTATTATCTATGCTCTATGATAGAAAAGAATATGGTTGAAAATTTGTAAATCAATTCAAAAGCCTATAGATAACGAAGTATAAATGTAACAATAAACCTAATTTCATATTTTTAACTTGGACTTACTTCAAAAACACAAAAGAGGAGGTTCTCTATTCGTCTGTATGTTTTTTTTTTGTATCTTAATTACGCGATATCTCCGTCAATTGTGGACTGATTTTAATTTTTTTTTGTAATCGAAAATGTATACTCCAGAGGTAGACCCATTACCACCAAATTAGGATCTGACCATGGAATCCCATAGAAACCAAGATAAATCCTCGAATTTTACAGCCCCGAAAACGAGTTTAAGCTTTTTTCTCTAGCTTTACAGGTGTTTGCGTTTGGTAGTCGTTATCTGATGTTGCTGAGCTGATGAAGATCCTTGACATCCTAGAATGAAGTAACGGACTTATTTAAAACTAAATTTAATACAATCTAACATACTACAGTTTGATAATATAAACATTACAGTACGTAGTGTTTTAAATATCATATCTACTCATTGCAAACGTATTTCACACTAAAAATGGTAAAATAAATCCTTTTCAAAAAAAGTTAAACCGACTTCAAATAATAATAATATCTTTATTTCTCACCACTGTATTTTTTTTTCAAGTTCTTATAGACTAAATCAGGCAAAATATTATACACAATATTGTGGGAGACTGGTGCCTATACTAAGCTCTGGCTTGTATTTCAGAACACCAGGGCCTCAATTCTGCTGTTGTAATATTGTATCAATAGACTGTCGATGGAATGTCGTCGGAATAGTTTTGTACTTTCGTATTCTACTATGTAAGACCAATGGCCAATTTCCCGATGAATTGTGACTGATACAAATGTAGTTGATGTCTTTGTAAGTTTGGTACATGGTACATTTTAAATTTGTAAGAAAATGATATATTAAATTTTCTAGTTATGGCAATGTTGTCGATATCACCATTGATGACCTATATTACTATATCGACAGTCTATTGACAATTTATGTTAGTAGAATAATGATATTTTGACCGATGTCAATGTCGTCGCAATGGCATCTGAATAGCATATTAATGGAATGACAGTGGCTTGACGTTAACATAAAATAGCAGAATTGAGGCCCAGGTCTCCACCCCATGTTATATTGCTACGTTATGTCAACGAATTTCAAAGAATTATCAACACCTGCCCGCTGTGGGTTGCTAAGAGACGGATTGTCAGTAAATATTCAGTAATATGAAGTATCTACCGTGGCTGGAGAGAAGCGCATCTGCAGTATTCTGAACGACAGATGAGAAAGCGATAGAGACAACCAATGCAGCGATAATTTCATACAAATTACGAGTTATTTGAACGCAGCCATCGCTTTTGAAGTCGAGACGTGTCGAGAATGTAGTTTAGTATTCTTGTGTCTTTGTAACATATCCGTTAGTCGACCAACCATGGGAGTATTTTGTTATAACAAAGGGGGGGCAAACGAGTAGATGGGTGACCTGATGGAAAGTAACTATCTTAACGTACGTCACGTTACTAGGAATTCTTTATTATTTTGGTATAGATTCTAATAGTTTTTGCAACCTAAGGTTTAAATTTTAGTTAAGTCTATATGATTTACCTCGCAATTTATTTTTATTTATACAATTTTATAGAAATGACATACATGTAAAATTTAAATGTTAGTGAGATGAAGCTTTATTCTGCACTCTCCATTGCTTGCATTATGGGGAATACTCCGAGGAGTTGTTCGAATTTATACCGACTGTAGGTTTCCGCCATCGATAAACGCGATAAAACTTCCACTCCCATCACTTTGATATTTCGCACTTCAACACAGAATAAAATGAAGTTGGAAAAAGAACCGGAACATAACGATAATAATTGTAAAATAGTTTCTTTTAATTTTTCTTTTAAAATCTGAACTAGTGAGAACAACGTCTTCTTCAAAAACTTAAATTATCACCATGAGCTACGTTATAAAAGCCATGCAGATCACACCTTTATATGTCCATAACTTATAAAATACTCTATATTAAACATGAACGACCTTCGTATTATCGTGAACCATCAGCATATCGGTACTGTACTATTACACATGTAATGAACTGCCGTGTGCAGGGCATGCAACATGCTCTACTTCTTTTGTAGAACAGATAATATTGTTTTAGTAAGGTAAAAATGTTTGGAGCAATATTGTGTAACATACGAAGACTTTTAGGTAGGTAGCAACCTTTTTTTTGACGGGGTGGAAAATCCCTTCGGATCTCTTGTTCCTCGGGGACTCAGGAGCGAGGAATATTTCGATTCCACTAAAAACTACCCCGACGGCCAGTCTTAGGTGCCCCACTCTAGGAGGACCCGGACCGTTTGACACCATGCCTAATCAGCCCTATCCCGTGGGAAAAAGCATTTCCCCTTCTCTATCACGACATTGCGGCAGAATTGCGTCTCAATGCAATCAGGCCACCATCCTATCCCCTACCGCAGCATTCAGTCTGCCACCTGAGGTCCCGGCCAGCGGCCCCGTCGGCGGTTGATATCGTCGCCGACATCCTCTACGCTCGGGATTGGCCATCTCCCGATCCCGTTCAAGAGATTCTTCGTACACATTCTCCATATACATATAATGATAATAATAATATAATAGGATTCTATTATCTATTCTACTATCTATTCGCCCGGAGATGGCTTATATAGCCGATTTTCGCAGCAAACACCCTTGCACAGAGTGGGCAGGTGAGCTTGCCGCTCTCATAATTATAGTAAATGGCGGCGAGTGGACGGGCTTTGAGATCATCGCGCTTGGCATCGAGTACATATGTATATTATACATAGAAACATCTAGACAAAATTAAACATTATGTTCATGTACGCAAATGTTTTACTTGAGCGGGAATCGAAACCTTTTGCGTAGCAGTCCGTTGGGCGACTTATACTCTCTGTTTAGTCGTGGTACGTTTCTATACAAATCAGCCAACAACACTTCACCAGCATCATTTATATAGTAACCCACGCAAGTTACCTACAAGTTTATTGTACTGGTAAACTAAGCCACCTTCCGTCTAAAAAGGATCTCCTTGTTTTCGTTCCTAGTTAGGACTAAAGAAAAAATTATATTATTTACAAAATTCTCATTAATATAGGCCACGTAAAATTAAGGTAAGACGCCTTTCATAAGGCAAGGAGTGTAACAGATATGTCTTTATTTATTAAATTTTTGTATTACACAGAGGCGACATAATAGTAGGCCAAAACCTCCTTTCTTAGGAGAGGCCTATGTCCAGCAGTGGACTATTGAAGCCTGTTGATGTGTGATGATGATGACATAATAATTGAGTGATGTAAACATAGGAATATAAATATTATAATATGGACCTCAATAAATCGTACACAATTGAAAAGTCCTGCGCAAAAAGACAATAGCGAACCGAAATTGTGGTAACAAGTAAATTTTAAAAGAAGGTATATAAAGCCGTAAGGTTGGTGTTGATAAAGATAATACGGTCAGTTTTTATGTAGGTACTAGCTGGTACCCAGGACTTCGTTCGCGTGGAATTTGTGGTGGTGGTTCGGTTCGATGCCCGGACCGGACAAAATTTTAAAGGGTTTTCTGAGAGGAAAAATAGCTTAAGTTATTCCAGCTACCTAGTAGTAAAACATTATCGAAATCGGTTCATGCGGTTTAGAAGATTACCCGGAACAAACCGACAGACAGACAGACAAAATAAAAATAAACTGATTTTTAGGCATAGGAATCGTACAAATAACCGTGTGAGCATGAAAAAACCTTTAATTTTGACATTACAAACAGACACTAATTTTATTTATTTGTATAGATTAAAGTAATGATTGCTTTTATTATCGTAATACTATAGTAATATCTTTACAGAATTGTTATTTTCCATTGATGCTTTTCAAAGATTTCTCTTTTATCAACTTGAGACGGTCCTGTTAATTCTTCATTGAGAAAATTTGGGAAATATCGAAAGTTATTTTACCATGTGTAGCACATTCATTACTTTAGTCAAGTGTTGTATTCTGATTTTTTATTACTGTCACAGCGAGGATTCCGTCTTATCTCTTCAATAATCATATCCTTAATACAGTGAAACTTTGTAAAAAACTCATCAATGTCTTTACGTGCTTCTCTTGCCAAAAGACAAAGAAAAATCACAAACTGTGATTGGGTCAAATCTTCTTTATTAACCCTCACTCTGCTGTAGGTTATTTCAAAAAATCTCTCCGTGACAGCTACGTTATCTATTATTTTACATTCTTCGAACCAACGTTTTATGACATCATACTTGGCACCATGGTATTTATTGGTTGCACTTGCACCATATAACACTAAGTACATTTCTTCAAAGTTGTGGCTTGGGCTCATATTGAGGGTATTTATTAACTTATAACTAGTGAGTTCGAAAGGCACAGTGCGTCAATAAAGATTTGGTGCTTTTGGTAAAAAGCCACATACATTATTTTTTTCATTTCAGGTCGATTCTGCCGTAGCACTTCAGGTTCTAAAATCATCGGCTGGCGCGTCTTGAACCATATCAATGGGAGAACATTTTATTAATCCGACTGCGGTCGTCAGCCAGAAGAGGAAATACAAAACTGATTTTACGTTTTGCAGTCGCAAAGAAGAAATTAATTGATATAGCATTTTAGTATTGACATTATATTACATGAATTTTTATTAACTAAAACTGTAGTGTGTTAAATTAGATGGATGAGTGTCATGGAGAAATTTATAAAATTATCTAGTAGGCAACGATTTTTTTCTTGTGGTTGGCTTAATAATGTATACTTTTATTTTACAACAAAACTATTTCAAAGAATTCTGTGTGAATTTTACACTGTGGCGATCACTTACGGATAGCCATAGCTGATGGGGAGAATATAGGAAATCGATTTAAAAACAGTTATATTGTCTTCTTTTTTTAAGCCGAAAGATGTTCATTGCTGGACATAGGCCTCCCCCAATTTTTGCCTCAACAACCGGTATAATCTTGGTATAAAATAAAATATCTTACATATAGTGCAAGAATATAAATTCAAGAAATCCAGAACACATATAGTTATAGGGATACACGATACTGCACGATTATTTACTCAACTAAAAGGGCAAATGGGACATTATAAGATATTGATATTACCGAGGTAATGTTCTTTCATCAGTTTCTTAAAAGCTGGTCTGGTTTATTTACAGGTTTACACAAGCAATGTATATTTACTGCTTCTATATATCCTAGCATTATGTTTCTAAAAACCTAGTAGATTTTTTAAAATACTTATGAGTATATATAGAATTGAATATTCCCAACATGGATCATCATGATCTCTTACGAAAGACGTAGTGGACCGTTTAGGCGCAAAATGTCCAATTCGCAACATGTCCAGCGGTCGCAAAATGTCCAGTTCCAATAATGTCCAGTTTTGGCCAAATCGGCAGTCTTTTCTTCGAGCAATGTGCCGCGCCCAGTGCCACTTAAGTTTGTCAATTCGCCGGGCAATGTCAGTGAAATGGGTTCGTCTGCGGATCTCCTCATTCCTAATTCGATCACGCATAGAAACTCCGAGCATTGGCCCCTCTATTACCTACTTTTTGGGTCACTTTGAGTCTTCTTATAAGGCCTATTGTGAGTGACCACGTCTCTATGCCATAACTTATCATTGGCAACTCAGACTGGTCAAAAACTTTCGTTTTGAGACACTGCGGCATTTGGGACGAGAAAATGTCACGTAGCTTCCCGAACGCTGCCCAGCTAAGCTGGATTCGACGGCCCCTTCACGCTTAAGCCACTGAACCGATTTATATGAAATTTGGTACAGAGATCGTCGAGTCCCGGGAAAGGACATAGGGTAGTTTTTATCCCAGAAATAATCGTTTAAGAAGTTTAAGAGGGTGAAAAGGTGGGTAGGAGTTACTACTACTACTACTTTTTCCCGGCGGAGCCGCTGGCAAAAGCTAGTTTAAAATATGGGAAAAAGAATCCGAAGTTGCTATTTGAAATACAGTTTAGTAACTAAAGTATATTTAATGCATTCTGTTTTTTGGCGCACGTCAATGATCAAATCTTTTTTTATTGATATAGGGGTCAAACAAGCAGAGGGGTCACCTGATGGTAAGCGACTACCACCGGATATCTCCAACTTAAGATACTGAGTGCTCAAGAGTAAGTAGCCGCTCTAGTCAGTCCCCTTCCTCCTCCATCCCAAAGATTAGGGAGTCTTGTGGTAACCTCACTCATTCACACACATGCCGCGGCCTCAATCCAGTCAAGCCATCACGTACCCTGTGTGCCGAATTCCGCATGGCTCTCCCACGGCAAATTGAAAAAGCAGATTGGTTCAGAATAAAAAATACATGTGGTGTCGTGAGACACCCGATAGGAACGAAGTTCAATGAGGTATTTGAGAAAAACTTAAAAAAAAAGTACTTTGCGTATGATTTTTTTTATATATAAACAAAAAAGTCATAAAAGTATCGCCAAAAAGTCTTGTTACACATTTGTCGGTCTCGCTACCAACCGCTCAGGCACGATAAGGAACTTCGTTCCAAAAATGTCGGCACGTGCTACGTGTCGAGCCTATTTATGGTCGTTCAATGGCCTTTAAGTAATTGCCCACAAAACACCTTGACCTTTTACATCTTGATTACTCTGTTGCTATGTTTAGGTCGCAGACTTCTAGTATTTCAAATTAATTAACTTTGGGTAAATGGTTGAAAAGCAGGATATTGTATCTAATTACCTTTTACACGTCGGCGCCGAGAGGAGGGCTATCATTTTCATCAATGTATATATATTTCTTTGATACGATCTGTAGTCTAAACGGCTTGATGGATATGAAAATTACACATATTTACGCAGTTGGTTGATTTTTGTTACTCTTAATAATAAGCTTATTTCTATATAGGCTAGGGCCTATAATTTCCTAGAATAATATATTTCTCATATCGTTGCCTTCCCTTCTCCTTTCAATATACTCTCAATTCTATTTAATTTATTTAAAAAGACAGTAATTTATAATTTCGAAGTTTTTTCAAAAGAGCAGGCGGGTCACCTCATGGTAAGTGACTATCATCGCCTATAGACACCTGTGACTCACGAGTCACAGGTGCGTTGCCGTCCTTTGAGTTTTTTCCCCGAAACTGGATCTCAAACCCCACACTCACTCGGTGAAAAACGACGAAAGATTTTACACCACTGTGGGGCTGTGGAATCTTCAGGAAGTTGACATATTCAAGTAGTAAGTTCCTATTTTGGAGTACTATGCTAATCTCTAAGGTGCTGAGTAAAAGAGTTCCTTTGTAAGCAATCGATATTTTTACGGGTAAGGTGGATTCCCGTCGATTGTCGCATTATATAATTTCCACATCTAATTATTATTAGGCTGGTGTCAAAACGAATTTGAATTAAAAAAAAACAATAACGGGCAAGGATCAGGCGGAAAATGTTGTTGAGGTTCCAAATGGAAGAAAAAAGTAATTTAAACACGAAAACATTCAAAAGTTTTTTTGCGATTTGCGGTGAAACGTGGTCTTCTAGCGGTAAAATGTACAATGCAAAAGTTGTAGATAATAAAAAAATCTACAAACTTTTGTATTTAATACTTTTTGACATAACCTCAAATTAACCGTAAATTTTTCCACCAGACCAGGTGGAAAAATTGACGGACGCCTGCTCGTTTGAAAAAACTTCGAAATTATGAATTACTGTCTTTTTTAAATAAATTAAATAGAATTGAGAGTATATTGAAAGGAGAAGGGAAGGCAACGATATGAGAAATATATTATTCTAGGATACTAACAGCACTGCAGAGAACCTAAACTTAAGACAAACCCAACCTGTCTGCCCAGGGTGGTACAGTAGGCCAAACTTCCTCTCTAACGAGAGGTCTATCTAGCAGTGGACTATTACAGGCTGTTGATAATTGGTGATGATGGCTGGCTCAAGCAAGTAACTCAAATGTACAGGTAGAACTGTAAGTAGAAGTTGCTGTTGCAGGGAAGCCAAGTCCTTCCCAACATTTTAAATTAATTTAATTTAAAACATTTCTTACGAGTTTGTAAAAAATATGTTTCAGTCAAAAAATTCTAATGAGTTTAAGGCTACCTACTGGAGTGGGCAACTTACCTCACATAACACTTCATCTTCAGTCACATCAGCTAGCGTCAAAATAGCAGTTCTGCTCCACTGCGGAAAGTGCCGGGATTCCGGCTGCAACGGGGGCACAGGTGGTGCCCCCATCCTAGGCAAAGGGCGCGCACCGAGTAACATTATGGAATATACCGAGGTGAACTAGTCGCACGGTAACCATAAAATAAACAGTGATTCACTTAATGACCGATCGCTTATGGCTCACACACACATCACACATGTCATGTCTTGTCAGTGAACTCAATAGAACGTGGTTAACCTACAAAAAATAAATTAACAAAGCTAAATCAGTCCTATTTAATTTAAAATACGTAATTACCGAGGTCTCAACAATATTTAAAAGTGTACTAATTATGTTTTAATAAATTTCATAATGTTAATAGACCGTTCGGCTAAAAATTTATTGAAATTGTGTGCTTGAAAAACTTTTAGTTGCTAGGCAACCACGAATACGTAACATTACGGCGCGCGGTAATAAACACGCAGCCAAATATTTTCTTTTTACTGCTTAATTTGAAATATATTATATCGATGAAAACCTGAGTGATTGTATAAATATTAAAATACTTTTTCGTCAATTTCTGTGATATAAGTGTGTTCTTTATTAGTATAATTTCATAAAATTTCACTTGAAATTTTGTAATAAATGAGTGGTTCTTTTGAGTTGTCAAATTTAAATTGTATCATTTTATTTTTCTCCGTCATGTCGATTGTACTGGAAATTAGATTTTTTGGCTGATAACTATTGAATATTTTTGTATTTGTATTGAATTTCGTGTGAATAAAATAGTGTTCGACACAATGGAGACGTACGTAAGGGGCTTTTCTTATATGCCTACTAATAAAGTAGAGCTAGTGGATATGCAGGTTTGTGTTACATTCTCGTCTCATTCTTAATTTATTAGAAATAAATTCTACATAGTAAATAGTTTATTGACAAAATAGCTTAGATAATTTGCTTTTTATTTTCTATGTCGAAAGTACAATGAAATAGTAAATGTTTGGGGTTGACAAACGTTACGTCACGTGACTTATAAAGTTTGAAACGATAGACAATGTAAAGTAAACGTCATCAATTTGCCAATTGCCATTTGCCAAAATGTTTGGTCTTCGATATTACTCGAGTGATTGTCTGTTAAAATTGATTTTATAAACATCGATTAAAGTATATAATCGAAATATATTGAAGATAAAAAATCGATGTTATAAGGAATGATAAAACAGATTCATTAGTTTTTCACGATTGATTATCAATTAATAAACGTCAACTCATTGCGAAAAAATTGTTCTTAAACAGCAAATAACAGCCTCTTCTACATCAGGAATCTGTGCGCTCTTTAATAATAATAATAATAACTTCACACATCTTACACACGGCCGTCTGATCCCAAACTAGGCAGAGCCTGTGCTATGGTAACCAGACCGCTGATAAACATATTTATATATTTTTTTAACCCAGACACAGAACAAATGACCGTGCACATCACACAATATTTGTCCTGGTTGGGAATCGAACCCATGACCTCCGGCTTAGCAGTCAGGGCCTCTAACCACTAGACCAACAGGCCCGTTTAATGTTTCTCATTTGCGGTGGAAGGAATTGGGTTTATGTGGAAAAACGTAAAATATGTTATAAATTTTAAATTTAATTATAAGAGTATCATTTATCTATCAATTCCTGTTAATTTCTCATTCTTGTGTATACGTTTTTTACAAAAATAAATAAATGGACCTTTATTTACCTATAAATAATACGCGCCACTATGTGAGACATTTCTAAAAGAAACTACAGACTTATTATATTCGGCTTTAAAAAAGAAAATAATTAGTTTTAACTAATTTGTTAGGGTTTAGAATTGAAAACCCTAGTAGCCGTTAAACGGTTAAACACTTGTCTGAGCTTGCAGCACAGCTTAAGAGTTACATTTATTAGAAATTGTAATCAGCACCATCTATGCGATCATATTGGTACTTGCGTTGTAGTAAATCTCAAGTTAGACACATGTTGCGAAATTAATTGACGGTTTAAGAAAGTACAATATGATGAGTGATGATACATTAGAGTCGAGATACTAAATTTCGATAAAATTCTACGTTTTATCCATTTTCCATCAGAAAGTCTGGTCCTATGTTATACTGACATCTGTATTTTAATATCAGGAACATGCTAATACTGTGAAAGCAGAGGTGTGAAAACAAAGTACACTGCAATTCTCTTTAGTTATTTTATTAAGAACAAGAACAAGAGGGGCTCTTGGCCAAGTGGTAACCAAGTAGGTTAGCACATTGCAAAGTTAAGCAATCCTAGCCAGGTCAGTCTATGAATGGGTGACCATTCTTAACACATTGAGACATCTCCATGCCTTGGAGATTATCTATCTTAAGCAGTAGATCCCGGTGGCCATAATAATATGAACATCTGTGGTGATCACCGTTACGAGTAGTCGGAGCCAAAAAAATCCGATAACTGTCTAAGATCTAAAGGGGTTGTGGAGTTTTGAAGGCAGTCACTCAAACTAGCAGCAGTAAAAACTCAAAGTTCAGCCGAGTAGCCCGAAAGTTGACCCCAACCTAGTTTGGATAAAAGAGGCATTAAGTCCGCCTTATGCAATATTTTTTCAGGAAGGCTCAATAAATAAAAATAAATAAAAGGCCTATCTTTTTGTGAAGTATTCATTTTATTTCTTTAAAAAAATTAATAGTTTGATAAATTACATGTAAATGCCCAATGGAAGATAAAAAATGATTGTATGCACTTTGATTGCATGCATGGCGCAATAATAGATAATATAGTAATATACGCTTAAGCATCGCTGAGTGTTCTCTAAGTATACGACTCCCAAACGAGACAAAAATGTATGTGATCCATAAATCCCAAGTTCAGAGAGGTAGTATTATTTATGACCGTGTTTAAAGCACCAAAGTAAAGTCCCCGAGACAGGGGCCAAACAAACACAAATCAGGTTTCAGTCATATCACATAACATCCATAATTGAGTGTATCTTCGCTAGATGGTGTTACTTGTAGGATTAAATGTTTATTTTGACTGCAGTGATGGCGTAGTGGTTTAAGCGGTCGCCACGCCGCTTCCTACTACGCCGAGTGTTGTGAATTCAAACCCGACATGGGACAACACTTTGTGTGATCCACAAATTGTTGTTCTGAGTCTGGATGTTCTTTGTGTCCGTTTCATGTATGTTTGTAAAGTCCCCCGCGACAGGATATATTCCTAATGCGGGAGTTGTCTTTTTAAAAGAGAAAGAGAAGATGAGTGTACTTCATAATGTGATACTCGTTTCTTATCCATATCAGGATGCATTAGAGAGGACGTGGAGAAATACCAGAAGAGAAAGACTTAAGCAACGGGAACAAAAGATATGGGAGGAATTCGTTAAAGAGAAAGATATTGTCAATACTGTTTGTGAAGGTAAGATTTTGAGTTGTTTTTTCATAAAAATTAGGTAGGTATAGATCTTGGTAATTACGATGAGTTCCCTTTCATCTTTAAGTATAGTTATGAACTATCCACGATGTTAAGAGTGCGAAAAAAATTCTAGAAATCAGTTAATGAAAGGAGAAGATAGGAAGACATAACCAATATGTAGGTCATTACTGTTCTATTTAATTAATTTTTAATCAAACGCTACCAACGAAAATGTAATTAAATTACCACCATGCCCAAATTTTTAGGTTAATATAAAAAAAACTTCTCATAAATACCTACTTTCGTGTATTGCCAACGACACCACTGGCACGGTACAATTATAATACAGTACTCCAACTTCATACAAACGGACGAAACGCAAGCTATACCTACGCGCCTCGATCTCGGGGTGCGCTCGGGGCGCAGACAGTCACGGCTGTGCCGCAGTGTCGAACGGACGGTGTGTTGTTTTTTTTAACAATAACCGCGCGATTTTTTCTCTAAAAATCAGTTAATATGACGGGTAGGAAATATTGTGCTGTTTTTGGTTGTATGAATTCGTCAATAACGTATTTAGACATAAGTTTTTTTTTAATTACAAGGAAACTGAAAGGTAAGACTATAAAATAATTTTACTTACTAGTAGGTAGGTACATAATGTGTGTCTTTTTAATGGATAAGTATTTCCTTTTATCTTACGAAAAAAAAGGTGTTTGGATTAATAAATAAAGCGAATAGAGTAACGGAAAGTTATTGAGACGAGTGAAATAGGTAGTTATATGCGGTTCTGAATGAATCATGATGTGGTAGGTACCTACCTACTTACGCTTGTGTTAAAACTTCGGTGCATGTGTGTTTTGTTACTTTACATAATTCAAAGTAAAGACGTGGTATTTTATTTTTAATACTATTTGTTTATTATCTGTGTGTATGAATAATACTAGAAATATTTTTTTACCGTCTGTGTGTCATTAGATAGTTTTCGAAATTTTCACAAAGTGTTTCTGCTGCTACTATAACAACATATACCACTAAAAACTGGTTTCATTTTCTCGGTATCAACAACAATAGCTAGACTCATGTATAATATTTAGATGTTTGAGGGTTGTGATTTTAAAACATTCGTAGTCAGCTGTTCAGCTTTTTAATAATTAATTAATTGGTGACCAAAGAATTTTTGTTTTGAGTTGTAGGTAGGTACCTAATTTATAGAGACGTTAATAAGCTGAGATAAAAAGTTACTTACTCGTCAGCTGTTTCTTGCATTCTAGTTGAGTAGGTAGGTGTTGGAGTTTCTAAGGATTGGAGTTTTGTAACGCGTAAGGAGAAAGCACATTTTTTTATTCTATAGAAGGATTTTTAAGCTATTGCATAGCTTTTATCGCGGGCTCTGAGCGCGGAGCGGCGCGGTGACCGAATCAAGAAATTCTTAAAACCTAACGAAAAATACCTGACACCACGCAGATTTTTTTCTTTAAAAAAGAAATGTTATGCAATAGCTTTACCGCGGCAGTCTCCGAGAGTGTCACAGGTATTTTTTTTTTCAGACGTCTTCAATGGTTGCAACTGATCCGGCGAGATGATTTGGAAAACAAACCTAACTTTAGTTCCTACCAAGTTTGTGAAAAACATTTTAATTTGGAGGATGTATTACATTCATCAAATAGAAAACTTTTAAAAAAGAATGCCCTACCATTGTTGATGCTGCCAAGCTTAGCTAGTACTGATCCAGGAGTATCTCTAAAAGAAGATAAACAAACCCAAACTGCTCCGTTGGTAGGAAATGAAAATAGTACACAGAATGAAAATGCAACAAATGAAATCTTTGCTCAAACCTCAACGAGTCTCTCTAGCAACACTCCAAGAAAAAGAAAATTGAAACTTGAACTCCTCCAATGCAGAAAGAAAATAAAATAATTAAATCTACCAATCAAAAAACAACACGCATTTTTATTGAACACTTCCTATTCAATATACAAAGTATTTCATTTATTTATATAAAAAGGATATTTACAATCACAAATCTAAATAGAAACAGAAAGTAGGCAAATATAATTAAAATGCTGGAGACGGGCAGCCCTAACGCATGTTTACGTACCGCGCGGCTGTAGGCATTTATTTCTATCATGCGGCCGAGTTCCACTACTGTATTATAATAGTACCGTGCCACTGGACCACATCACTAAGGTTATGTTTTACGAACCCCTTGTGAACTCGCCTAATTTTAATATTTTCTTTAAAAACACATAACCAATTTTTTTAAGGTAGTTGTGAGGTTACAAAAAAGAACATTGGCACTCCGGGAGGGCCCACTGAAGCAAAAATTTGAAAATTGAATTCGTTTTGATTATAAAAGATTTTTTATGCTTTTTCTACTCCGTTCCGTTTTTCTAAAAGTTCCGACTTGAATATAAATCTATGTTGTACGTATATACACAAAATATTTTGTTTATATTATTTATAGTTATAATATCAATGTATTTCAACGGAAACTGAACTCTCGTGCCAATAAATGTAGATACTTATACATATACAGAGGTGTCGGCAACGGTAACAATGTTTTTTTTCCCATCTCAAAAATACATTCTTTTGATTGTTGTTCAGAAATGCCCAACGCGCGTAAAATGTTTTCACGTCAAAAATTGTGTGCCACGATACAAGGCTAATTCATTTTTCTTGAAATAAAATTAGCTGCATTGACACTCGGCAATCCTTTGCGTTTTAAATACAATTAAGATTGAAATGCTTACTTATATATTATCACTTATTTCAGATGACCAATATCAGTTCTTGGACCAGTTGCCAGACTCATGTGTTCTACAAATTATGGAGACTGAACTCACAAAGTTGAAACAGGCTAAACAGGTGGACCCAGAGCCTCAGGTGAGTATACATAGATGGCGTTGGTCACATCGCCATGGTCTTCAGACATAGTTTTTTTATGGAATAGGGGGCAGACAAAGAGCACATAAAGGCCGGCTTCACAATTAGCATAGCTACTTACAATAGCCTCACAGAAAACCGGTTTTAAGTAGTTCTTTTAATGCTTTTTATCAAATGTGTACCGGAGCCCAAACCAAAATTCTAAGAATTCTGAGGAAGGGCAACACGGGCACACAAAGCACACTTCTCTTAAGTTGCATGTATCGTCTACCCTCTCTACGATAAAAACAAAATACAACACCTTGTCAGATTGGTAGGATAGACGCAAAAATCGTTTGCAGTCCTTACCGCATGAGGCAACTGGAAAAAGTTATGTCTAAATTGCGAATAGTCTTCAATGTTTTTAATTTATTGCCAGGAACAGGAGGAAAGTGTCCAAGAAGAGCAGACCGCAGTTCATTCCTTAGAGGACGAGAAGGACGACTGCGATATGTTTCACATATTCGATGACGAAAAAATCGAACAGTCCCGTACGTAATATATTTGTGATTGTGTTTTAATAATATAATTAAATTTAATAAAACACCCCTATTCATAGCGTGGGTATCGTCAGAGCCGATTAAGAGAGCAAACTACGTAGACAACAGCACTGCAAAGAGAAAATACCCTTTACTAACCTCCTTTTTAAGGAGAGGTATTATGTCCATCAGTGGACTTCAATATTTCCCTTCAGTTTGAAATCGAATCAAATTAAAAGTATATTTCAACGAAAAGCGCTAACTTTAGAAAGGAGGTTCTGAATGCGACAGATTTCTTTTTTATGTGTGTTGCTTGGATAACTTCGCCCTTTTTTTATCGATTTTAATTATTTTATTCCTTTTGTAATTAAATTGCACGAAGTAGAGTTGAATGTGAAATGTTTACATTTTGTAATCAAATAATAATCGATGTGGAACCTTATCATGTCGTAATCATAACAATATTTGAAACGCCTTAAACGAACATACCGAAACCGTCACCTCAGTAATAGTTAATTTCCGAATGGTCTACAGCTTTAAAAACATTGGAAGTAGCATTATTCCCTTATAAGTTGAAGAAAAAGTAAATACAGAATTCCTAAATACTCTTAGCGGTCGAAGATGGTGTCTTGAACGTTTCCACGAACAGTCCACCTGTAACAGTTCGTGAGAGACAGCCGTCACCGGGCGCCTCCGAGGAATTAACCATCGAGCGACCCAGCAGTGGATCTAACACTCTAAGTAACACACTATTTAATTTTATTTGATGTTTTTATGTTTAATAAATCGTCATCAACTTTATTTTCCTTCTCTTTTCCCAATTTTATTTAGGGTTAGGGCAATGTTAAACGACGACGCTAACCTTTCTTGGGAATATAATCATTTTCTTTTGGGACAAATGCAAAGGTGAATTGGGGCAATTAAAACCGATAGGGTGATGAGGGAGCTAATGTATGGGATACCGAGAATCTCGAATGGGTAAACGCGGCTGAATCGAAGCGACTGCGGCCTGTCCTGTGATTGAAGAGGCATGTCTTAGTATATCTTCGAACATCGACGGCCCATCTATTCATAAAAAGGTTTTTTTACATACATTTCACACACGGTCGTCTGATCCCAAACTAGGCAGAGCCTGTACTATGGTAACCAGACTGCTGATAAACATACTTATACGAGTATATATTTATTTTAAATAGATACATATTATAGATAAATTACACCCAGACACAACAAATGACCGTGCTCATCACACAATATTTGTCCTGGGTGGGAATCGAATCCACGACCTCCGGTTTAACAGTCAGGGTCAATTAATACATATAGTAGTAATTTTACATAAAAAAGTAAACAATTTGCTTTAAGTGGTAACTTGTAATCCGTGTTCTCCCGCAGGGATAAATTCAAAATCAAATCCTCGAAACGTGTTTAGTACACGGAACATCGTCAAAGATGACCAATAAGTGACTCATGATCGTAAAATTACTTTTAATTAGTAAAAAGAAATGAAAAGATGGTGTATTTGAATCACATAGATGTACGACTAACAAGTGTTTACTTCATGAATTAATAATTATCTTAGAACTTACAGAAGTTTTAATTTAAGCAGCTGAATACCATGCCATGTGACTTTGCTTTAATTTTAATTGTAGTTAGGTTAGTAAATAGTGTAAGACCACGTCGGCGCGCGGCCGTCTCCTCCCTCTCCTAGTTTTCTATTGGTTTACAAAATAGTCTTATGATATATTTGCATTAGGTACGGGCAAGTCCTCTGAAAACTTCACCAATGTCATCGAGAGTAGCATCTACTGCGCCAAAGTCAAGGATTTGCGCCTCAAGATTACTGATGAATTACTGGACATGGTGTAAGTAAGAGAAATCTATTGAATAAATGGTTCTGTTTGACGTTGTCGACTCAACATATTCGTGTTCATGATTAGTCTAGTAATTTCCCTTTTTTTCGGTCAACGGTTTATATTTTAAAAAATAGCCTTTGCTGCAAATGCAGAAACAGTAAAATGTGCTACACATCTTATAAAAAGTAGATCTTAACATCGTGTTCTAACTTATACGACGCGATCCAGTGAGTTGGCGTTGTATGTTTGTTTCCCAATATATGGGGTTTACCAATAAGAACGTCCTGGTTTAAAAATTGAACAAAACACACAATTTTTTATGAAAAATGCATCCGATTAATTTATTTGATAGATAATTTTATGCCATTTATGTTTTAAATAATATATCGGCCAAATGACCGCCGCGGCTCTTTTTGCAGACGGTCACCCGCTCACGCCAATTTTCGATGACGCGGTACACCATTTCGGCCGGTATGTCGGCTATGGCTCGTCGAATGTTGGTTTTTAGGTCACGAATTGTAGCTTGATTATTGCTGTACACTTTAGATTTAACGTAACCCCAAAGAAAATAGTCTAAAGGTGTTAAATCACACGATCTTGGTGACCAACTGATCAAAGATCCATCATCAAACATGGCCGCTATGAGCTGTCAAAACCAGGTCATCCCTATTGGTAGACCCAGTACATTAGGTACTTTAAAAATAAATCATTTAGAATATATTCAATTACGTCCAATAGATCGGTGCTTGACAGCCGTCAGATATTCTCCATGGAAAAAGAGGACATCACGCGCATGATCAAACGCTCGGCAGAATTCTGTTCGAGGTTCAACAGAATCTACTTGTACCAGTTACAAAGACAGGTATTACTTAAAACATCGCGTCAGGCTAAAATCCTGGACTACTTACACAAACACACGGGATTACCACAGCTGTTATATTTAATATGCTACAGTATCTCGTGTATTCTCATGTGTTGTTATTAATAGGCAACACAGGCAGAATATAGCTTGAAAAATACACCACTGTTAAATTTGGTATTACCTGTGTTCTGTGCAAATAAACGTTCTTTCTTTCTTTTATGTTCAAGTATCTTTAAAGCAACTTCTATAAAATTCTGCCTTAACTTCAGCTTTGTGAATAAGAAAAAAGGGACTGCAGCTTAGCGTTGCTCTTTCTAGCTTTATTTGTAGCAATAGGGTCAATGTCGATTTCTTTCTTCCTAGTGCCTATTAAACCTGGTAGAATGCTTGCATCTTCTTCTGATAACTTTACCTTACTAATGATTTTTACATGATTAGGAATAAATGTTTAATTTCCAACGATAATTTTTTTGCACTACCTACTAATATTTTAATTAAACAATATATCTATAAAAAATAGCATAACAATATAAGGCTTTCTTTATTTGCTTACAGTTTAGAAACCGATTATTGATCCAAATGTTTTTGTCATAAAATTAGATGTCATCACTTTCAGTTATTTGTAAGTCATCGCCTATATTTATTTGAATTTGTATTGGTTATATAATTTTATACAGATGCAGGACATAAAACGCAATAACAACCTGACCCTTCCCTTTGCGAAGCATACGCAGTTTCAATCGCTAATGGTTAGGATCGTGTCGTTGCATCAGAACCTGCTGCAGTCATTCCAGGTATGGTTTTAGATTGACAGGAAAAGATTTTCACATTACAATTATAAGTTTTTTCATTGGTATATTGTTGCTGTTTCTAACTAAATCCTTATGCAGATGCATTTGCTGCTGTGAGGATGTTGTTGACAGATTCTGTAAATTACATGCCCATACAATAGAAGTATTAAAATATTGAAGGAGTTTAATTTTTACAAACTGAAGTGTTCCTACTTATTTAGTACTTGTAGTCTTATCTGAGGTTAAATTATATTTTTCTTTGATATAATTAATTTGAAGCTATACATATTTGTTGTTATTGTTTCTAGGTGACAAAGTTTTTTATTTCCGAAGTTTTGTTACATTATTTGCTGGCTTACATGTAAAGGTTTTTGCAATTTTAAGATAGAGTCGGTGAATATCCATGAAATCATTAGTTAATTTAAAATAATTGGGCAAGATGGCAGGAAGTCCGACTAGGCTGATAAACTGCCTGACTTGAAATATGGACAGCTTTTAACCGGTTAGATAAAGACACGATGAATATTAAGATTCCTCTCGTATAAGTGTTAAGAATAGGCTAACGGTCAGTAGCAGTCGTAAGATTGGGATAATGATGATCGGTTGGCGGGGTTTAGTTAATGCTTGCTAAGGTGTTGTATCTGTAGGTGTTCCGTAAGTCGATGGAGCAGACGTGCTGCGTGCGCGAGAGCGTGTCGGCGCTCGGCGCGCTGCTGGGCGCCGCGCGCTGCGCCACCGACCTGTGCGCCGCGCTGCGCCACCCGCGGGACCTCACCGCCGCGCAACAGCTCTACGACGACGTGAGTGTTGTATCTGTAGGTGTTCCGTAAGTCGATGGAGCAGACGTGCTGCGTGCGCGAGAGCGTGTCGGCGCTCGGCGCGCTGCTGGGCGCCGCGCGCTGCGCCACCGACCTGTGCGCCGCGCTGCGCCACCCGCGGGACCTCACCGCCGCGCAACAGCTCTACGACGACGTGAGTGTTGTATCTGTAGGTGTTCCGTAAGTCGATGGAGCAGACGCACCGCCGCGCAACAGCTCTACGACGACGTGAGTGTTGTATCTGTAGGTGTTCCGTAAGTCGATGGAGCAGACGTGCTGCGTGCGCGAGAGCGTGTCGGCGCTCGGCGCGCTGCTGGGCGCCGCGCGCTGCGCCACCGACCTGTGCGCCGCGCTGCGCCACCCGCGGGACCTCACCGCCGCGCAACAGCTCTACGACGACGTGAGTGTTGTATCTGTAGGTGTTCCGTAAGTCGATGGAGCAGACGCACCGCCGCGCAACAGCTCTACGACGACGTGAGTGTTGTATCTGTAGGTGTTCCGTAAGTCGATGGAGCAGACGCACCGCCGCGCAACAGCTCTACGACGACGTGAGTGTTGTATCTGTAGGTGTTCCGTAAGTCGATGGAGCAGACGCACCGCCGCGCAACAGCTCTACGACGACGTGAGTGTTGTATCTGTAGGTGTTCCGTAAGTCGATGGAGCAGACGCACCGCCGCGCAACAGCTCTACGACGACGTGAGTGTTGTATCTGTAGGTGTTCCGTAAGTCGATGGAGCAGACGCACCGCCGCGCAACAGCTCTACGACGACGTGAGTGTTGTATCTGTAGGTGTTCCGTAAGTCGATGGAGCAGACGCACCGCCGCGCAACAGCTCTACGACGACGTGAGTGTTGTATCTGTAGGTGTTCCGTAAGTCGATGGAGCAGACGTGCTGCGTGCGCGAGAGCGTGTCGGCGCTCGGCGCGCTGCTGGGCGCCGCGCGCTGCGCCACCGACCTGTGCGGCGCGCTGCGCCACCCGCGGGACCGCACCGCCGCGCAACAGCTCTACGACGACGTGAGTGTTGTATCTGTAGGTGTTCCGTAAGTCGATGGAGCAGACGTGCTGCGTGCGCGAGAGCGTGTCGGCGCTCGGCGCGCTGCTGGGCGCCGCGCGCTGCGCCACCGACCTGTGCGCCGCGCTGCGCCACCCGCGGGACCTCACCGCCGCGCAACAGCTCTACGACGACGTGAGTGTTGTATCTGTAGGTGTTCCGTAAGTCGATGGAGCAGACGTGCTGCGTGCGCGAGAGCGTGTCGGCGCTCGGCGCGCTGCTGGGCGCCGCGCGCTGCGCCACCGACCTGTGCGCCGCGCTGCGCCACCCGCGGGACCTCACCGCCGCGCAACAGCTCTACGACGACGTGAGTGTTGTATCTGTAGGTGTTCCGTAAGTCGATGGAGCAGACGTGCTGCGTGCGCGAGAGCGTGTCGGCGCTCGGCGCGCTGCTGGGCGCCGCGCGCTGCGCCACCGACCTGTGCGCCGCGCTGCGCCACCCGCGGGACCTCACCGCCGCGCAACAGCTCTACGACGACGTGGGTGTTGTATCTGTAGGTGTTCCGTAAGTCGATGGAGCAGACGCACCGCCGCGCAACAGCTCTACGACGACGTGAGTGTTGTATCTGTAGGTGTTCCGTAAGTCGATGGAGCAGACGTGCTGCGTGCGCGAGAGCGTGTCGGCGCTCGGCGCGCTGCTGGGCGCCGCGCGCTGCGCCACCGACCTGTGCGCCGCGCTGCGCCACCCGCGGGACCTCACCGCCGCGCAACAGCTCTACGACGACGTGAGTGTTGTATCTGTAGGTGTTCCGTAAGTCGATGGAGCAGACGCACCGCCGCGCAACAGCTCTACGACGACGTGAGTGTTGTATCTGTAGGTGTTCCGTAAGTCGATGGAGCAGACGCACCGCCGCGCAACAGCTCTACGACGACGTGAGTGTTGTATCTGTAGGTGTTCCGTAAGTCGATGGAGCAGACGCACCGCCGCGCAACAGCTCTACGACGACGTGAGTGTTGTATCTGTAGGTGTTCCGTAAGTCGATGGAGCAGACGCACCGCCGCGCAACAGCTCTACGACGACGTGAGTGTTGTATCTGTAGGTGTTCCGTAAGTCGATGGAGCAGACGCACCGCCGCGCAACAGCTCTACGACGACGTGAGTGTTGTATCTGTAGGTGTTCCGTAAGTCGATGGAGCAGACGCACCGCCGCGCAACAGCTCTACGACGACGTGAGTGTTGTATCTGTAGGTGTTCCGTAAGTCGATGGAGCAGACGCACCGCCGCGCAACAGCTCTACGACGACGTGAGTGTTGTATCTGTAGGTGTTCCGTAAGTCGATGGAGCAGACGCACCGCCGCGCAACAGCTCTACGACGACGTGAGTGGCGCCACGGCCACTAGCCGCGTCAACGGGCTACGACCATCGTTATGGCCATTTAGTTACATAATTCACACTTTAAAAAGGACAAATCGACTGGCCTATTTAGTCTAGTGCAGGGATTCCCAAACTATTTCGGGCAAGAGACCCCGTTTCTAAAATGAACTGTTACCTGTAGATCTCCATAGCCAAATCACTGCATGCTTATCAACTTGTTGAGTTTTTGAAAAGTACAATACAATAATACTTCCTACTAAAATATTGGTCACTCTTATAACAAGTTGATAAACATCACACGTCAAAAATACTGTTTTTGACGTGTGATGTTTATCAACTCACCAAAGTTTCAAATTAATTCATATAAAAACTTGTGTTGATAAATAGGGGTCGATTTTTGGACCTCGTCAACCTCCAAAATCAGTTTTCGTTTATTTCGACCCCTTGGAAACCTATTTCGACCCCAAGAGATCAATATCGACTACTTTGGGAATTCCTGGGCCTCGATTCTGCTATTTTATGTTGACGCCAAGCAAGTGTCATTCCGTTGACACGCTATTGAGATGCCACTAATATCGGTATTCTACTAACATAAATTCAAAGTATATATAGACTGTCGATATAGTAATATAGGTTATCAATGGTTATATCAACAATATTACCATATCATGAAAATTAAATATATCATTTTCTTACAAATTTAAAATGTAACTTTTACCAAACTATTACAATGACATCGACGACTTTTAACCGTAATCATGTACCTACTCACCGCCAGCGTCGAAATGCTCTTGCACCTGTTTAGCAGCGCGGATGGCCGTTATAAACTCCTGATGCTTCTGTCGCCAAGTGTTATTCAGAGGCTTCGCTTTGTATCAGTGACAAGCCATCGGGAGGCCATTGGTCTTACATAGTAGAATAGGAAATGTGCAAAACTATTCCGACGACATTCCATCGACAGTCTTTTGATACAATAATAAAATAGCAGAATTGAGGCCCTGGTCTACTGGTTAGTGACGGTAACTGTTAAGCTAGAGGTTATGGGTAAGAATCCCCCAGGACAAATAATTATGTCAAGAGCACAATAATTTGTTCTGTGTCTGGGTGTTATTTATCTATAATATGTATAATTGTATATGTTTAGAAATATTTAAGTTTAAGTATGTTTACCAGCAGTCTGGTTAGCATAGTACAGGCTCTGCCTAATTTGGGATCAGCCGGCCGCGTGTAAGATGTTTGAAATTATTTTTATTGCACTTTTTATTTACTATAATTATGTCTGTACTGGAGTGATAAAACTCTTCTGTTATTTAAACGTTCCATATTATTATACGACCGGATGGCGTAATGGTTCGTGTAACGGACTACTATTCCAAAGGTCGCGGGTTCGTATCCCGAACATTTAATGTTTGAATTGGTCTGGATGTTTCTATGTATAATATATATATACCAAAAAAAAGTTATATTAGTTGTCTAGTACCCATTGTTTGCGCGGGTTAGCTAAATTCGAGGAGTTTGTAAAACTTGGTTGGCGTCAAGGTAGGAAATTAGAACTGTTAGGAAAAATGAAAGTAAGAATCAGTTCCAACGGGATGGATTGCACGATACCTTATTTCCTGTGCGGAGCAGCATGAAGTCCAGGGGCTAATTTCACCAAATTCACAAACCACAATGCGAAAGTTATTAATTTCCGATTTTTCAAGTGGCACACGCGCGCATTTCGAAAACGACGGTAACACGGACGAAACGAGACTACTCTTTTTCACTTATGTACAACGAATGTGCAGCATACAGTGGTGAGTCCATCTCGCTCACACATATTGTATAGGCGTTGTGCAGGAAAGGGATAGTAGAGATGATATGATACCAACCAAAATATTTAAAATAATAGTTTTCACGAAATTTGTTTAGTGGCGCGAACACCCATAGTACAAACTCTGCTTTGTTTGGGACTAGATGGCGTTGTGTGAACGTGGTGGAATATTATTATTATATTATATTATTCTTTGCAAATATATTTAACTGGATTTTAGAATCTACTGACATCGTGCGACAAACTGGAACAGTTTGTGAACGAATATGCTGTGAGGTGCGAAGAGTTTCTCATGGGATATGCAAACATAGTGAGTAATTCAATATATTTGTTAAATATCTAGTGAACATGTGCAAATTAACTAGCTTGTGACCGTCTTTAGATCGATTTGAAAATAATTGTCTTGCAATAAATCCAATCGCAATTTTAATAAATTACTTAATAATATCTTGAAACCACATTAAAAAACTGCTACAAATATAATTAAAATGATTGAAAAATATTAAAATGGTAACACTATTATCTCATAACTGCAAATACCAACAAGACTCATTACGTCACTAACCGATATACAAGATGACAGCTGTCAGTCGGTCTCATTCTTTTATTTTTACTTATTTTTATTTTCTCTATAGAGGACTATCAGTGGATCGATTAGTTATATAATAAATACTACAGATTTTATTGTCCTTGTGGTGACAGATTAAGAATACGGAGTGTCACCACCCCTATTCATTCCGTGGGTGTCGTAAGAGCCGACCAAAGGAGCAAACTACGCAGGACAACAGCACTGCAGAGAGAAGGAAAACTTGATACAAACCTTTTTTTTCTTTTTTCTTTTTTTTTACGTGTGGAAATCCCCTCGGACCGTCACCCCACTGGGGTTTACGGCGGGGTGATGTGTCGGACTCGGACCGACTAAAACCACACGGTGTGCCACTCTGCGCCTGTAACAGGAGGGATCCGGGAACAGCTGTTGTTAAGACATCCGGACCCCTCCTAGCGCCAGCCCGCTCCTGTTGCGGGCTCCGTCTCAAAATTATTTTTTTCCTCTCTTTAGGCGACGTCCGGCACACGCGGTTCGCCGGCGGCGGATTGAGTCCGAGTGGAGGTCGTCCTCCCGGGCCTTCTCCGCCGCCTCCTTCTGCGAGATTACTTCCTCGCAGAAGGCTGCGACCGCGGTAAAACAACTGTCGCTACCGGCCATGGAGCGTACTACGGCCGGTAGCGAGAGATCCACTCCGATGACTGCAGTGAGGGCCCGGCGCTGCGTCGCCCATGCGGGGCAGACCGCCAGCGTGTGCTGGGCCGAGTCCTCATTGCAGTCGCAGTGGTGGCAGGCGGGACCCAGTTCCCTCCTAGCGACCGAGTGCAGGTACTTTCCGAAGCAACCGTGCCCGGAAAGCACCTGCGTCAGCCGGAAGGTAAGGGTCCCGTGCTGCCGCCCTGCCCACTCGGCGATGACCGGCTGGAGAGCCTCCACGGCGGCGAAGCCAGCGCGTGGAGTCTCCAGCCGGAACGACCAACGAGCCATCGTGGCTCGGCGAGCGGCTTCGCGCCACTCGCGCACGTCTTCGGGCGGTGGGCGAAATCCGCTCTCCGCCCGGGAGTCAGCCACTCGCCGATAAACTTCGGCGAGCACTTCCGCCTCCAAATCCCACGGGGGAGTTCCGGCCAACGCGCAAGCCACCTCCGTCGAAACGGTGCGGTAACCGCGTATGGCTCTGACCGCCACTACCCACTGAGGGCGCCAGAGGCGTGCCCTATTCTGGGCGATCAGAGCCGCCGCCCACACCGGTGCACCGTATAGTGCCATTGACCGGATAACCCCCGTGTACAGCCGTCTTGTCGCGACGCTGGGTCCACCCAAATTGGGCAAAAGTCGCCCTAGGGCAGACGCAGCGCCGACCAGCTTTGGAGCAAGCTGTCGGAAGTGCTCGTCGAAGAGCCACCTCCCGTCGAGGATCAGGCCCAGATATTTCATCTGGGCCCGAAACGGTACGTGGACCGAGTTGACAACGATTGAGGCGCCAGGGGGTAGACCACGACGGGGCCCATGAAATAAGAGAGCCTCCGTCTTATCTAGGGCCACCCGTAAGCCCAGCGCCTCATTGCGCCCGACCACCAGGGAGACTCCCCTTGTGGCCAGGCGCGCCGCCTCTTGGAAGTTCGGCCCCGGGCTGTAACCAGAGTATTATCAGCGTAACAAATTGCACCCAGCCCGGGAGGGAAATCGGCTCGAAGGGCCCAGTCGTACCCTATGTTCCACAAGAGGGGTCCAAGAACAGACCCCTGTGGAACACCGCACGACATGGGCCGACACCTCAAATTACCATCTCGGTCCTCGTACACGACGGTACGCTCCTCTAAATAGTCTGCCACTAGCCGCCTCAGGTACTTTGGCACCCCATGATAGTGGAGTGCTTCCCTGATGCAGCTGAATGGCAGACTATTGAATGCGTTGGCGATGTCCAATGACACCGCCAACAGGACGCCGCCACAGCTCACGGCCTCTTCGGTCACGGCCCTCAGGCGCAAAACAGCGTCTACTATCGAACGCCCCGCCCGAAAACCAAATTGGGCGTCCGACAGATCGGGGCCCACCTCGTAAAGGTGCCGGACGATGCGGGCAGAGAGAACCATCTCAAACAATTTACCCGCCTTGTCCAGTTGATACAAACCCTATGCCAACCCGTCTGGTCAGCGTGGCGTAGTACGACAAAACCTCCTTTAAGCCTCCTTTAACCTCCTCATAAGGAGCTCCCTATGTCCAGCAATGGACTAGTAAAGGATGTAGTAGGATGTTGTAGTAAGATGTTGTTGTGATTATATTATATCATTATTAATTTTGTGTGTTTAGTGGGATATGTTAGAAGTTTCTTAAAATGTTTTTTTTTCTTAAATATATTACTTAGGTAAGTTCGCAAAATGTTTATAAATACGTTCTCAAAAATACACATTCTCCTCCACACAGATGAGCGGCCGATCAAAAAAGTCCAAAGAATCAAAGAAAACGAAAAAGAGGCCTTTACTAAGTATGCGAAAAAGTTCAAATAGTAAGTGAATTTTGTCCATACTATCCCTACTTACCAACATGCATACCAACAAAGTGCTTCGAAACTTATCATGATTTCTAGACATGGAAATTTTTGCTACTATTCATTTGATGAAATGATTGGTTTTAGTCGCAGTGATTTCATCATAGACAACGATAAATGGCATCAAAATCAATCAAAATTCTTTTTATCAAAGATAACGATCTATTTTTTTTTTAATTAGGCCTTTCGCGAGTCTAGCGCTAGCTAATAATCAAGTAGCAGTAGCTTTGCAAATCAGTCACAGGTGTGATGTTATGCTTTATTATAATCATATGTTTTATCACATGTGGTTGTGATTTATTCCTTCCCTACTAGTCACTCTGCATCACATGTCCTGTATGCTCAGTTGTCCGCTACACCATATAAAAAACGGTTAAATGTGTGTAGGGTTTCGTAGTTTATTACTACCAGTTTTAAACAAGGAACAACTGCGTATTTTTCGTTGTCCGTGTAGTGACAGATTAAGATCACAGAGTGTCACCACCCCTATTCATCCCGTGGGTGTCATTACGGACAACAGCACTGCAAAGAGAAGAAAGGCTTGACACAAACCCTATATCGTCTGGCCGTGGTAAAGTAGGCCAAAACCTCCTTTCTAAAGAGTGGCCTATGTCTAACAGTGGCCTTTTGTGGGCTATTGATGATGATGATGACAATTGAAGATTTTGTATCGATTTTTTTAGGGTAGCTAAGTAAATTTATTATATTGATAAATTATTATTATTAGCTTTTTTTACAACCTGTGTCGCGGGGAAATTTACAAACATACATGAAACGGACACAAAGAACACCCAGACTCAGAACAACAATTTGTTAATCACACAAGGTGTAGTCCACCACTACGCCATCCGTACATTTGTGCAGCAGAAGCATGGCTCTCCTGTTTAAGTTATTAATACCAACTCTGTTTCCAACATTTAGATTCGGAAGCTGACTCTCGGCTTTCTATGTACTCTTTGGGCACCGTGCGGCTAAATACAAAACCTTCTAGTTCAAAAGATGTGCCATGCAGGTAAGTGTTGACTATCCAGATATCTATTTTCAAAGGGGTAAGTAGAGGCGTATTAAGGCTAATTAGAGCCATCCGACACCCGACTAGCACAGCCTCGCTCCGAGCGGTTAGTATTCTTTGTATGGAGTATTATAGGTATACGCTCACTACATCAACTCCAGAGCGCCTCTTCCCCTCGAACGTGTCTGTCGTATCCTTTTCTCGTTAGCAAAGCGGTGTCCACCAGTGTACCACCAGTGGTGCTGGTCGGGTGTCTAGTGGGTGTAATGAGCTATGACCCTTAACTCGTCCCTCTGATGTAATAAGAGGCAATCCTATTGCTATCAGCTTTTCACTTTACGGACTAGTAGAGAAAATTAAGAATTGATTGAAAAGAAAGGTCGATGAAAAGAGAAGACAAAAGTTGGAAAGAGATATCGCTCATACGAGTGGATTGGTGAGTTATGCAATAGCTCGGTCAGCGTTGCAGACTGTTGACGGGATTTCGAGCTCTCTAACCAACTTAGGTTATTTAAATTTCTGGTTAAAACAAAAGATACCGTCTCACGTAATACTTTTGAAACATTTTGAATTGCTGTATTCATTTTTAAATGTATGATCATGCGTTATATTTCTAATCCATATTTTCTTTTATTAATGAAGTTAGTAGAAAGAAAGAAATACTTAGAAAGAAGGTTTTGGTCTACTATACCACGCTGGCCAGACGGGTTGGTATAGGGTTTGTGTAAAGTTTTCCTTCTCTTTGCAGTGCTGTTGACCTAGGTAGTTTGCTTCCTTAGTCGACTCTTACGACACCCACGGGAATACACTCCGTATGTGACACTCCTTATTCTTATCCGTCACCACATCTCAACAAATGTATATTTGATATTTGACCTATGGTATATTTGATAAAATGGCCAGGCTGACTGGAATTTTGGTCGAGGTGGTAAGTTTAATTTCTACCCAGGACCCAAATATATTGTAAGATGAGCATAATTATTTGTCTGGGTGTAATTTATATAATATGTATATATTTAGAAATATAGGTACCAGGTTGTTGGCAATAGGGTTGTCTATTACATAAGTGGTTTAATAAGTAAATTCTTATAAGACTGAACCCCTTGGAAACGGGCGGTTTTAGATCGGCACAGGCATATCATAGATTTTCTATGGGTTTGATTTTTGTTAAATTTATTTGCTTATTATTTTTCAAAACAAAGATTGTTGCTTTTGTGTGTTGGTCTATGACTAGTCTACATAAAAGGCGATTTCAAACAATTTTATGAAATAGAGTTTGAGAATACCCCCTTAGGGGATAAAGACGTGTATGTGTTTTGATCAATAAGAGTATTTTCTTTTATTGTTATTATTAGTGACACGAACAAGAGTCGTTGTACACTTGACGATGCGAATAGTAAGTCAGCGGATGCTTACAAATCTGATTCTAAGTCACCTAAGGCTTTCCGGAAGTCGCCCAGGTATATAATATTTTTATAGTATTTGCATTGTTAGTCAGAGAAATTTTATCGTTTAAATTAAAGTAAATATAATATCTCAATGCCAACATATTAATCGCGGAAAATGCACTAGGCATTTCAATTAGGTTAACCCAATTAGGGAAAATTATAATTAATGTGATAATGACTGAAAAAGTGCTGCGTAATTATTTTTAGTCCTTTTGCCACTAGTCCATTTGTATAATCACATCATCATCATCAACAGCCTTTAATAGTCCACTGCTGGACGTAGGCCTCTCCTTAGAAAGGAGGTTTTGGTTTAATATACCACGCATGCCAGACGGGTTGGTATAGTTGGTTGGTTTGTGTCAAGTTTTCCTTCTCTCTGCAGTGCTGGTGTTCTGAGTAGTTTTTGTGTAATTTGTATAAGAAATTCTTTAAATATCAGTTCAGGTACAAAACATCATAAACAAACATTCATAGGTAGTTTGACAGTTATCATATCGATAAGTTAGCATAGTATAATATCTGAAGTTTTCGTGCGTCAGGTCGCGTCGGCCGCTGATGCGCGACCCGCACGCCGGCGCGCCGCGCGCCCCCCGCGCCCCCCGCGCCGCACAGCGCGCTCTGCGCGACGACATCCCCACCATGGTCGAGGGGGTTCTAGCGGTAACTTCTGCTTTTATTACACGTACATATAAATAGTATATGGCCAATGGTCGCCAAAACCTTTACTAATCCTCCAAAATTTATAGGTTTTATAAACATATACTACTTAAGCATACTTGTAATTGAGTATACTACAAAGTAGTATAGTTCTCGCTCCGGCCTACGTTTGCTAGGATCGTGGATAGCATTACCGTTACGCCCAGGCCAGCGCTCAAGGAGGCCGAATCTTTCTGCAACCTCTCACGCCTGGTGCACTGCTTCGGGACGAGAAACTCAGTAATCTGGCAGTCAGTACTCTGGAGTCAATACTCTGGAATTAGTACTCTGGAAAGGAACGGGAGAGGCCCAGTGCCCTCTCCTGTTCCTTTACCGTCACATCTTTATCGAGCATCATTCCTTCACTAAAAAAAACGACGGAAAATTGGCATACTTATCATGTGGAAATGCACAAAAAATCAAATTTTGAAACAAGATGTGCTATAAAGTTTAAAATTATCTGAAAATGGCCACAAATGTCTGTCATGGTACAATGACAGTTCAAGTTATACTGGCAAATAAAATCATACATTTAAAATTTCCGACCGATAGATAAAAAATATTTTTAGTGATTTTAGTTTAAATGAAAACATCTGCCATTATTTTAAAATATTGGATCATTTTCTACTATTTTCTCTCATGTTAATTGGTGAATCTCTAATATGTATTGCAGTGTGCCTCAACCCACATGTTAACTGATGATTCGAGTCCAAAAGCGCCTCCGCGACGTACTAAAGGGATTAACAAAGATGAAATATCTAGGTCAGTAAATACACTATCCTGTATTCTTCATTATTTGTATTTAGTTTTTTCAGATACAAGTATATACATGTTGTCATTCAGTTATTTGTTAAGTTTTAGCTGAAAGTGACTACAAATCTCACCATCAGGATCTCATTTTGCATCTAACTTATAATCTGACAATTAAGTGACTTGTACTGTGTTATGCATGTTACGGATTCCATGATTGATTTAAACTAACATTATCATTTTCACTTGATACATTATTATTAACAAGATATTTATCTCGGCACTATTGCAAGCGAATGAACATGGCGCTGTCAACAGTGCCGAAATATCGGAAACTAATTCAAGAAAATAAACATGGTAAATATCCCGTTTATAATAACTTATCAAAATATGCTGGGTTGCCCATGTAGGTTTACATACGCAGCGTTAAGTAAAGAGTTATGGGGAGGGAAAATTTGCCGTACTTAGTAGTCTGATTATTGTTTACTATACTTTCTTAATATAAATAACATTTTTCCAACAGAAAATCGCTACCAAATACACCTAGAAGAAATAAGGCAATTAATCCAAAGCCTGCCACACTTATAAAAGGATTAATTCAAACAGTGAATCAAGAAGCAAATTTAACAAAACAATACTCCCCAACTACCAAGACACGAACAAATCATAAGAATTTGAATAAAGAAGAAAAGAAGAAGGAAGAAGATAACAAAAAGGAGGTAGAAGAGAATGTAGATGTAGAAGACAATAGCGTGTGTGTTGAGTCACCGAAGGTCGATTCAGAAACGTGTGACTCGACGAAGTCTAGACCACAGACGCTGGACCCCATCAAGTCTGTGGTAGTGAAGCCGGCAGCTGTGAAGCTGGAGACGGCGGTACACTCCGAGGCACCGCAGGTGCAACCGCTGGATCTAGGGTTAATAAAACCTGAGACAAACGTGGAGTCACCGAAGCGCGAAGCATTGCAGTCTCCGCAAGCAACGAAACCACATAAAATGAACGGTGTGGAGGAAAGAAAAGAGAAGAGTAAAAAGGTAAGATTTTTTATCCACATAGTTCTATCATTTTTGTTTTTAGCAGAAGCTACTTATAAATCGATTTTGATGATTTGTTTTCAATAACTATCAGTACTTCTAAATTTAAATATAATTTAAATGCAACCATATGGAATAAAATAAACCAATTTTGGAATAAAATAATATCTGCATCAGTAGAATCCTCTTTAGATTCTCGTCGTGGTATTATTTATAATAAAAATTCATAAAAATTTCGAATAAGGTTCCTTTTTCAACGCCGATGAAAAAGGAACCTTATAAAATTAAAAAATATATAAAATTAAATTATATATAATTAAATTATAAAATTAATTAGTATTAATTCTTATTTGCGTGGATTTATCTTCTTTCTTTTTTTTTCTGTGTATTTGAATGGGTATAATAACGGTTTCCTGTCTAGTATTACATAATATTTTGTCAATATTACTTAAAAATGAAAGATTTTAGACCTACCGATGATATAATATGTTGCCTTTGGACAAATTCCAGTCCTGGCTACGTTTTCGATACGAAATTATCGCGCTACTCGACATAGCAATATTTTTTTATGGAGCTGCGTTCCGAGCAAAAGTAATACGCGAGTTCGAATGTTTTCTGAGATTTATGCACACTTGCTCGTAACTCCGCCGCCTGCCCCGCCTACATCGCATTTCTAGTTTATTCACTGTTCTGTGGGTAGATCTGTCTATCAAGTTTGCTAGTAAACTATAAACTGTAGTGTTTGTCTCACTGTTAGGTATTACATCTTTTCACTTCTTTAAATTCATGAATATAGTTTTTTCAAATGTTTATTTCTTAGTTCTCTTATTAAAAAAACGAATGCACCTTACAGTCATATGATGTTGAACGTCAGACTACCTCCGAGCGCTTATTGGTCAAATCAAATAGCGCGCTAATTCCGCGCTTCCTGTTACACATTACCGTCCCCTTTGACGAAATCACGCCAATATATTGCAGAAAAGCGAGACCAAAGATATAACACACCAATAAACGATTTAAGATCATCGTGATAAGGTTGAAATGAAATACAACTAATGTCGAAAACAATAATTTATTGGAAAAATAACCATTTTGGGATAGCGTACAAAATATAAATCTAGCGTGTTTTAAACTTTTTATTAAATATTTTATATTTGAATTTAATTTAATTAGCCAAAAGCATCATCACAGCGATTATTTAAATAACTATATTTATTTACAATATTATTATTTTTACTCTTGCGTCTTACGAACTAGGTCCACGTATCAATAACGCGGTTAAGCTAGTTGTGATAAGACCGTGACGTGGATGGGTGGACGATGATTATAACTGTGAAATACTAAAAATACATTTTATTTTGGTCATAAACATTAGAATTGTATCCATTTTATGGACACAATAGTAGTTTAAAATAACTTATTAAATAGAATTATTGGTTTTCCAAGTAACATCACTTACGTGTATTAAAAAAATATATTTTAAAAAAGAAAAGAGAATATTCTAAGAAACATCTAAAACAACTTTTTTATTAGAAAAGTTGTCCAGTTGTTATAACTTTAAACTTAAATAAAATAAACAAAATTATTTTTGAAGAAACTTCTGAAAATGTATGCGATATTGTAATATGCCTGTTTTATTCGTATTTTATCTTGTTTAAAACAACAAATGTTACTTAATATATTATTATGTATTTTAGCATTATATTTCGTAATGCAGTGTCTCAAATACCATAGAAAAAAAACATGATCACAAAAATATGTTTATACACTGAAAGCATTAGGTGATAAGGCACTAATAAGACTGCTTTTAAAAATTGTACTTTATAAACTTGTCGCGAGAATCTATATTCATTTAAATATCTATCTAAATTTTGTACTATATGTACTAATCTGTGCTTCTGGTTTAAAAAAAATATCTTTATGGCATTTGAGATACCATTAAAAAGCTTCATACTCATGGCTACTCGATGGGTGTATGTCAATATTAATAAATATTTTGTGTATGTACGTCTGTGAGCTGTTTAGGCACATTTGCCGCAAACAGGTTTGTTGTCCATTACGGAGAAAGTAGCATCTGTCACTGGATTCCTGCATTTCTGTAAATAAATAAAAAATTGTGAATAACATGCAAATTTATAAACAGTACAGTGTGGTGGATCCAGGGGCTGGTCATGGGGGCCATGAACCTCCCCACCTCATAGTTAGTCCCTGACTAAATAAAACCGATACCCATGCGAGGTTTTAGTCGGTTTGCTTCCGACACACCACGTCACCGAAAACCCCGGTGGTGTGAATTTCCGAGGGGATTGCCACACTCCCAGAAAAAAAATGGTTAGAATACGTAACCGTTCCTTTTTTTAAAAATTCTAAACCTTTAAACTAGAAACAGGTTATGTCATAGACTTAAGGAATAGAAATAAATGTATCATTTTAAAAGATCAGGGACGAGTAGCTATCAGATTATTTATAATTAGTATTCGTAATAGTTACCAGGCAAGTGAAACATTCGCGATGCCACTTGGCGTCGAGCGCGATGATGGCCTTGTCAACAATAGGGTTAGCGCAACCCTTGCAGCGCGCAGCGAACTTGTCAGCGTAGCAGGGTGAGCAGTAGGGGCGGCCGGCCTGGAATTGTTACATAGAATGGGTTTACTTAACTGCAGATAATTTTACTACTACTAGTTAATAACGCCAGAACGGCGGATCTGGATGAGTTAGGAGCAGCAATATAAATGCGAAATGTTTTGTTTGTTCTTTGTATTTTCACGGTTTAAGTACCCGAGCGATCATTATGGATTTTGTGCACACGTATTCACATGTTAACAAAAGCTCACCATAATCATCACCAACAGCCTTTAATAGTCCACTGCTGGACACAGGCCTCTTTGTAGAAAGAGGTTTTGGCCTACTATACCACGCTGGCTAAACTAGTATGATCATGATTACTAAACGACTTACAGAAAGAAACAATTGATGCCTATGAACGGATAATCCAACGATGAAACTAAGAAAAGCTCACAGGTTATTTTTAACACGAAATAAAATCTCTAAAAAATCGTCTTTTTCCCAAAGAACGCTTAAGTTCCTTCATGACAAACATTTAAAATGGCTGAGGTTTTCAGATAACTTGAGAGTGAAAATATCAGGGTATTCCACCAATTTTTATTCGAAATCGATTTTAGTAAGTCATGTGTTTATGGAATGCATTGCCACTTAATATCAGACTATCTTCAAAACTAAGGATGAAAATAATTACAATATTGATATATTTATGTATATATCTTTGTATGTGTGTCTTTCGTGTATGACTGCACGTATGGCGTAGTGGTTTAAGCGGTCGCCACGCTGCTTTCTACTGCGCTGAGTGTTGTGGGTTCGATTTCCACATGGAATAATAATCTGTGTGATTAATAAATTGTTGTTCCGAGTCAGGATGATTGTCCGTTCAATATGTGTTTGTAAAGTCCCCCGCAACACAGGATTTATTCCTAATGCGGGAGTTGTCTTATTTAAAAAAAAAGAGAAAAAAAAAAGAAAAATATTGAAACTTTGGTATTCCAATCCTGACCTGTTCCATGAAGCCACCACCTCCAAGTTCTTTCCTGCAGCCACCGCAGACGAAGTGGTGAGCGTGCCATGACTCGCCCAGAGCTTGAATCACACGCTGCAACAGACAAATATAATATTAATTATCTACTGTATATTAATACGTGAATAGAAACACGGAAGCATATTATGCTTAGAACATTTAATGTTTACATTCAGAAAATGTGCACTAAGATAAAAAAAAAAAATCGGTTGTCTGTAAAGTCGGTTTACTGACGATAGTTGAACGTGACAGCGTCATAGGAAAATACTGATGGAATGGTTGCATTTTTCAAAAATGTATTATTGTATACGAGTAGCAGCTGTCCACGCGGACGCATCGCTCACTCAAGTAGGAGAGAGACAGATGTCGAACGCTGCCGAACGCGGAGGCCGATTGTGCCTCTTTGTCACTCGTTCCGCACTCTCGCTTGCACTTCACGCCTTAAATGGAACGCCTCAGAGCGAGGTAACGCCGCATGAGTCATGTTTTTTCGTGCGTGCAGCCGGCTCCATCGAATTATAAGACGTTGTCACGTCAAAAACTATACGTATACGTGCTTTAACGTAGAAAGTCCAGTATATATTCAGACCTGTCCGTGTCACCTTAATTCTGGAGGGTTTGAGGATGATGTTAGTTGACCTTGTAACAGTACAATGACGCCATAATACAAGGTGTTTCAAAAGAAAGTTTATATTGACGACCGGATGGCCTAGTGGTTTGTGTAACGGACTGCTATTACAAAGGTCGCGGGTTCGATTCCCGCTCAAGTCAAACGTTTGTGTGCATGAACATTTAATGTTTGATTTGGTCTGGGTGTTTCTATGTATAATATGTATGTATTTTCAAAAAAAAAAGTATATATATATCAGTTGTCTAGTACCCATAGTACAAGCTCTGCTTAGTTTGGGACTAGACGGCGTTCTGTGAATGTGGTAGATTATTATTATTATTTACGCTCGTACGTAACGCTCGGTAGGGCGCTTGGGATATGTTAATCGGTAGCCTGGCTCTTGGGAATTTGCCTATGGAGTTATGGAGCATTTCTCGGGAGCGGATCGCGTGTTGTGCATACGAGTACGCGAATTTTACAAAAAAATTAAAAAATAGTTTATCGCATATTCGAGATTTTTGTCACTTAAATGATGCGCCAAGCATTCTTCTCATTCGGAAATGGATAAAAAAAATTGAGGAGACCAGTTCGTGAAAATTTTCAAAGCAAATTAATCTCCAGGAGAGGTGACATTTATGGGCCCCCGCAGTCCTGATTTAAATCTAAAGTTTACTTTAGTAAAGCAACATTACTGGCCCAGTTAAAACAAAATATTCGCCATGAAATGAAAGCCATCACGGAGCATACTGCCAAGCCGTCATCAGGAATTTTAGTGTTAGATTGAATGAGTGTATTAAAAGCGAGGGTAGACATTTGGACGACATTATTTTTAAGAAATAAATTCGCAAAGAGTGTATTTTCATAATTAATAAACATATTTTCGACAAACTTCTTATTTATTTTTAAAGCGCTTTTTGTACATAAACTTTCTTTCGACACACCTTGCATATGTTAGTTATAATCGCCTAAGGCATAATAGGGTAGTCCTATGGCTAAAATGAATTGTTTAATAGTCCTCATTAATTTAAATATCACAGTAAAAAACTATAATTCGTTATTATTTTCAAGATGTTTTTTATCTGTTAATTGCCAAACCAAGGCAATGATTTGACAACAGTTGAGTATGATGTCATAACTCATTATTTAATATTAAGTTCTACAGAAGTACCGTTTTGGTGTTTTATAAATATGACTTGGCAATATAATACTGTTTTTGTATGAATTAACAAGGTGTGATGCGACTACTATTGTAAGTCCTAATTTTTTATGTTTAAATCACTACGTCGTATTATATGACAGAAGTAATTATTTTTAAACATTTTTATGTGCGTATTTCACCTGTGATTTTGTTGGTGTGTGTAAATTTTCTCAATAAATTCAATTATTTATTACTCGGGAACATAACAACTTCAATTAAATCCAGTTACGACTTTTATTCCTCGAGGATAGACAGACAAACTTATTGAACGCCTACATTTTGCTGACTATAATAATTTTGCCCCACTTACGTAATAAGTGGTAAACCTGCCGTTCATCATCATCATCAACTGCCTTTAATAGTCCAGCAGGACACAGCACTCTCCTTAGAAAGGAGGTTTTGGACTACGATACCACGCCGGCCAGACGGGTTGGTGTAGGGTTTGTGTCAAGTTTTCCTTCTCTCTGCAGTACTCTTGGCCTGTTGCCCTAAAGACACCTATGGGACCAAGAGGGGTGGTGACACTCTGTATCCGCCACCACACGGCCTGCCGTTAACTGTGCACATATATTTCTAAATCATACATATTATAGATAAATTACACCCAGACACAGAATAAATGGTCGTACTCATGACACAATTATTTGTCCTCGGTGGGAATCGAACTTCAGTCAGAATCATTAACCACTAGATGGACAAGCCAGTCCAGACCAGTATATTACTCTTTAATTCATATCGACAACTGTCTTTCAGTATCTCAATAATAAAAGACGTTCCTATATTTAATAAGGAACGGTTCGTACAACGATATCAATGGGCTAATTCCGCAGTGCGCGATCGTTGAGTTATTTTTCTTGAGGTGATGTCATCCACACAATGGGTGGCTCTCAACGATGGTCCCCATTGTTTTTGCTCCATGGTAACTGGTTTTAGCGAGCTTTGCGAAACGTCATATTTACGTTGAGAGTTTGATGTTTAAGGAGCATTTGGAAATATAGTTCAGTTAGGCATAGTTTTCCGGTGATTGCAACAACAAAAATCGTGGTTATCGTCTAAACAACGGCAACGTGTATATATGTCATCATCAACAATCATCAATCAACAGTTCACTGCTGGACATACTATACCACGCTGGCCAGACGGGCTGATATAGGGTTTATTTCAAGTTTTCCTTCTCTTTGCAGTGCTGTTTTCTGCGTAGTTTGCTTCGTCTTACGATACCCACGGGATGAATAGGGGTGGTGACATTCCGTATTTTTAATCTGTCACCACACGGACTCTTAATCAGTCACCACACGGAAATATGTATATTATTTTAATGAACATTTATTTTTTACAGTGTTGTATTTCTTGTGAATAAGAAATCATTAATAGTATTTATACATATTTAAAGTTAAGTTTATTTAATAAAACACTTATCATGCGTAACTTCTTTTAAATTCTTTAATTTACAAAAATTACGTAACCTATGTAACTTTCATAATTGAAAAAGGACAGAAATGAAGACGGTTTAACGTGCTGACTGTACAATGAATTTGGCCGAACACCTCCGCGCGGAAATGACTTGTTTAGCCGAAACTGAGTAATCATTGTGATGAGTCAATACTGAGTTTGGGTTGATTGCCGATCTTAATCTACAAAGTTTTTATCATTATAAACAGCCACTTCAATTTTATTTATTTGTATAGATGTACGTATTTACAAAAAAAACATATAAGTATTCTATTAGTCAATCTAGATTTCTTAATACAAGCTCTGCTTAGTTTAAAACTAGATGGTGGTCTGTTTCAGATTTCTGAAAATATTATAATATAATAAAAAATAATATCTATATATCATGACAAAATAAAAAACGGTAGCTTCCGTGGCGAAAACTGTAGCTTGTATGAGACACACATTATTCTCAGTCCGTAGGTGTCCTTTTAAGGGGCTTGCGGAACCACACCGCGTTGTGATGTGATTCATTCGGCCTTATCTTAACACGTCATGTAGGTAGGCTTATTATGTGTAAATATAGCCACGGTTATTAAAGTGACGTGTTATATTTGTTGGTTTTTGGCGGCTTCTTTGTAAACGATACGCGTTAATAACATGTATGGGCTAACAGGTGTCTGGTTGAGAGTTTAATGTTTGATGTTAACGGGAAATGTTATTATGGAATTATTTTTTAAAGGGTGTTTTGAGGAGGCTTTATCATCACACTCAGTGTTTGATATATCTTATATGTCCATCATCATCATCAGTTATGCCAAAACACGACCAGTGCCTCTCCCGAACGTATGTAAAATTGTCTACATAAAACGATTTGTATATACTTTATAATCTGGCACAAAAGTATACAGTGGAGGTTATTGTTGTCAATAAAATTAAACAGTACATTCAAAATGGTTGAAATTCAACCACCAAGAGATAGGTATTAAGGTAGCACAAGAGAATTATGCTTTATACTTTACTAATTAATGTCATCATCAACAGCCTATAATAGTCCACTACTTGACAAAGGCCTCTCCTTCGAAAGGAGGTTTTGGCCTACTATACCACGCTGGCCAGACGGGTTGGTATAGGGTTTGTTTTAAGTTTTCCTTCTCTTTGCAGTGCTGTTGTCCTGTGCAGTTTGTTCCCTTAGACGGCTCTTACGACACCCACGGGATGAATAGGGGTGCTGACTTTTCATATTCTTAATCCGTCACCACACGGATATTAATTAATGTACAAATTAAATAATAATAACATTGAATCTTGATTTTTTACATAGCCTTTGTTACAAAATATCTTTGAAAATAATTAGGCATTTAATGTATGTACCGTTTAAAAGTAAATTAAAACAGTTCTTGAATTTTAAATTTAGCTATTTATAAACATTTGCTTACTTCCTCTCTTTAAATACTTAACATGCATAAATGTTTACTATTATACTGACTGTAAATTAATACATTTTTGTATTATATTGTATTTGTACATTAAACATTGTTTTTAAAATAACAAATTTCGCAATCCTCATCAATGCACTGCACAATTGTCTTAATTAAAAAGCGATGTTTCCTGCATTATAGAATGACTGCACTTGTGATCATTGAAAACATAATGTTATCTTACATTTATTTAAAAAATAAAATTGTAACTATTAATTTTCAATGAATATTAATTCCATATAGCCTTCTTAAATGAAAGGCGCATACTATCAAAGAATGAATAAAATGTACTCTATAAACTGTATGCATTAACATATAGCTTATAATTGTACTTTACTGAAACTACAATCTTTAT